AAAATTAATAGATTAAATAGACCAAACATATATAAGACTGTGTAGAAACTGCACAAATCAACTAGCTTAATTTAATAGAAAAATAAATACTGAACTTTGCACACCCCCAAATGAAAATTTGCAGTCTTTTTGAATTTCATACAGAACATTTACATAAATTGACTGTAATGTTAGACCACAAAGAAATTCCTGGTGAGTTCCCCAAAGTAAAAATTACACAGGTCACATTTTCTGATAAATGTTAAACACAAGGATTATACATAAACCTATAAGAAATTAATAAAAGATAAAAATATCTACTCATAAAAAATTGTAAATGCCAGATTATAAAAGAAGTTAAATAAAACCCATATTACACATACTTTAGACATTAAACACATGAAAAGATTATACATCAAAACTTTTAGGATGAGGTGAAAGTAGTACTTAGAGGAAAACATACAGTTTAAAGGCATTTATTAGAAAGCAGAATGAAAAGTGAATAAGCATTTTAGTTAAGAAATTAAGGAAAGAATAACATAAAATTAACTCCAAATTAAAAGGAAGAAAGACATGCTGCAGATAAAGGAGAAACAAATGAACTAGAAAACCAAAACCAAGTACATTTGAATAATAAAAATAAATCTGGCTCTTTGAAAACATCAATATAACAGACAAACCTCTGCCAAACCTGATAAAAGGAGATCACACAAACAAAGTAGAAATGAGAGAAGAACACAATCACAAATATAAAAGCTATTTAAAAATTAGATGAAAATACTACATTCGACATTATGTGATAAATTTTAAAATCTAGATAAAATGCTCAACTTTTTGAGTACAAGCATTAAAATTGTGTTTTAAAAGGATGGAAAATTGGAAAAGACTATTTAAAAAGATTTGACAATGGAGGTAAAAATATGCCAGGTTTAAAAAGTTATTTGGGCTACTTCCAAAGACTCTTCAAGTAGCAGATAATTTCAATACTGTTTTAGGTTACTGCAGAGCACAGAAATTATGGAAACTTCTGAAATCATTCTTATGAGGCTAAACTATCCTCTAAATAAAAACTAGATGAGTACAGTTCAAAAAAGAAAACTCACTTATAAAAAGGATGCAAATATTTGAAATAAAATATTAGTAAGTTGTACATAGCTACTACTTATGACGACTAAGAAGAGTTTATAGGGAGAAGTCAATGATCGTTCTGTATTAGAAAATCTTTTATTGCAATTTTCCACAATAATGGTTTAAAGAAAAAATCATATAACTGTCCTGATGCATTAGGGTGGCAAAAAGCTACGTTTCTTGATTCTGGCAGCCCTCGTGAAGAGTTCCATTTTTGTATCTATTTGCTGTGTGACCTTGGGCACGTTACTTACTCTAAATTTTGTTTCATCATTTGTAAAATGAGAGTTGTTATGAAGATTAAATGAGATAATCCCAGTAAAGTTTATAATCACAGAATCTGGTTTGTTTATGGTTTTTCTTTTTCCTTAAGTATTCACAAGGGTTAATTGTATATCCTCGCGAGCTCTGAGTGTGCTAGATCTTTTCTTCTTTTTCTCTGGGATATCTGCTTCCTCTCTCCATGCCTTCCCTCTCCCACTCCTAACTCAGCGTTGACCCCAGTGCAATGCCCTACAAGCAGTATCTACAGCCATACATTGCAAAATGACTATTTGATCAATGACGGACCGCATGTACGATGGTGATTCCGCAGGATTATAATGGCAGTACCATATAGCCTAGGCATGTAGTAGGCTGTACCATCTGTGTAAGTACACTCTATGATGTGTGCACAGTGATGAAATTGCCTAACGCATTTCTCAGAAAGTATCCCCATCGTAAGTGAGGCATGACTGTATTTCACACATATTTTATTATTTAAGTGACAGGGAAACAGGAAAGACAAGTGGTAGGCCATTGGTGCTGTTGTTAAGACCAAAAGGAGAGCCCAGGAGAATCAATAGGCTCTCCAGTAGAACTAATTCCATGAGGGGCAAGAAAATCCAATGGAAAGGAAACAGAAGCCATGGCTTGGTACAGTTGCAACATGTGCTCTGTAAGGAGACATTGGATATGTCCTAGCTGCGACATCGAGTGCCACCACCTCACTGCACTGGGCCCCATGGCCATTGTCAGCCTCACAGAAGTAGTTCCCAGAATGCTCTGCAGTCAGGGAGAGGTTTAAGGATGCTCCTTCTCCAAAAGGCACTGAGGTGTTCCCCAGAATGATATTTTCGAGATAAAACCAGTACAGAATGGGAGGAGGTGCTCTCCTGTCTTCACAGTGAAGCTCTACCACATCTCCAATGAAGGCCAGGGCTCCAGGAGCACTGAAGGGGAGGAGTGGCTGTGACACTGGAACTGTTATGGAGTGTGGGGTTCATCAGAGGGGGTGGTGCAGGTTCATAACCCACCCTATCTTCACCTAAGGGTCCTCATAGCATCCTTCCAGCCCCCTGGATTCTTTCTGATGGTCGTGGCTCCTGACTAACCCTGCAATGGTCCTGCAGAGCTGTGATGATCTGTGATGGAGTGTTCTGGATAGTGTGCCGCCAACACACCATGTAGCCTGCTTGTGTCCCACCTTCTCTTCCTCCATTAGCTCCTCAGCCACTGTTGCCATTGTCACCACTTCCACCATCACAGCAGCCCTGCTGTTCAAATGGTTTCTCACCCTCTTCACATCCTGTTCCTTGTCATTTCAGAACATCCTCACAGCCTGACCTTGGTTGGGAATCACTGGCTAAGACAGAGCTACTTACTTCTCATGGTGATGCTCACCACCTCACTCTGCACAGGGCCATAGCTGTTGTCAGCTGTACAGTAGTATCCTCCAGTGTTGTTCTCCCTGATGACAGGGATCTCCAGCTCTGCTGCCTGGGAATGCTGAGTTTTCATCCCCAGACTCTCCTTTGTGTCCTCTCTGTGCCAGGAGAATGTGGTGTCCCCTGTGCCTTCAGTCACAGAGCAGACAAGGACCAGCATTTCCCCATCAAATGCCTGACCCCCTGGGGGCTGGGTGTCCATGGAGACTTGAGACACAGGGATCCCTGCATGAATGGGAAACAGTGGATGAAGGCCTGGGATGGGGAAGGGCAAGACTGGGGTAAAGGCTGGTACCACCTACTGAGTATTACAGCAGGTGGAATTGGTGGAACTAAATATTTAGGCAGAGGAGTGTCCCCCCATTCGCCTGATTGTTTTTAGTGGGGAGGGAGCATACTGAGGGATATTACACAGGACAACCCTGTAATTTAAAGCTTAGTAGCAATCCTATCCTGCACTTTCTCCACATTCTTTAGGCCTCTCTAATCACCACTGCCTTCTCTTGACCTTTGGGTGTGATTGGGGCTGTAGGAGTGATAGGAAGACAGACCTGAGTTACAACTCAGCTCTGCACTTATTCACTGCATATATTGGTAAGTCAATTAAGATCTTGGATCCTCAGTTTTTGAAACATAAAATGTGGATAATCATACTATCCTCACAGATTTCTCATGAAGATTAAATGAGATGCAGGTATAAAGCACCTCTCGCATTGAAGGTGTCCAACAAATGGCAGCTATTATTGACACCACTCTCCACCAGCATGGTCGAGATAGGAAGTGTAATGTAGCAAAGTCGGTAGAAGTGCATGCACTGGAGCCAGAGCGACTGGGTCCAAATTGCAGTTCTATGTGCTGAGTTACCTTGTGCAATCCATTTAACAGCTCTGTGCTTTCAGTTTCCTCATCTGTAAAATGGGGACAATAATAGTTCCTACTTTATAGGTACTATTCACAGTACTGTTTCTCAAGGTCTAAATGTTACACTGCTCTGAACAGCGACTTGTACATGGTAAATGTTCTAAACAACTTCCCCTCTCCAGATATTTATAAGAATCAGAGGAATTCCAGGACTGAGCATAACAGCTTGGATTCAGGCCCGGCATTTAGTAAGCCCTTTATAAGTCCTGGGGATTGCTATTGTCATTTCTATTATTATGATTACTTCATTCCTTCATTGCTCTATCTGGGTTAAATATGCCTCCTAGTTGGGGGATCACTCCTTGTGGACAGAGATCACAATTTATTTATGTCTAGGTTTGCTGAACATTCCTCAGTGCTGGTTGCACAGTAAATGCTCCAGGGAGAGATTATTATTGCTTTTCTGACAGGGAAAGCAAAGCTCTTGGAAAATAATGCTCACTGTAAACACTAGTAGAGAAGATCCCAGATCAGTCATTGTAGCTCCCACACCCACAGGGATAGGGGAAGCACAACTGAAAAGAAGAGCTCAAAGGCTGGCCTGGTGCCATTTTCTTCCCTGCCTGACCCAGCCCTGGCAGCCCACCCACTGACGCTCACGCTGCACATGTATATAGGATTGCTGGCTCTGCCTCAGGACACTGGGAGATGCTGTCATTGCCTCACACCGGTAATATCCCAAGTCTTCTTTCCATATTTCTGAGATCCAAAACTTGGATGACTTCCAGCCCATCAGGATGTGGCCATTTCTGAAGAAGGAGTAGTGAAGCTCAGTCCCGGACCTATCCAAAGGGAGCTGGGTGTCACAGGACAGGTTCACTGGTGTCCCCTCTGTGGGCTCAGAGGGTCTGACTCTCAGCTCAGGTGCTGGAAACAGCTCTGGAGGGAAGAATTAAATAGAGACCACCTGGCAGTGAGGTGTGGACTTCCTATTGAGAAATGCCTTATTTACTTAGCCCTGATGAGCGGGACATACAGACCCAGACTCAAGGACACACAGCCCACCTACCATGTCTCCCTCCCAAGGTACACTGTACCCTGATCCTCCAACACAGGCCTTACTCCTTCCTGATTTCATCCATGTGAAGAGTGAAGCCCTTACCTTGGACAGTGAGCTGTATAGAGCTGGATTTTTCTGTCACACTTGCAAATATGGCATGTCTTATATGCGCCATACAATAATAGGAGCCACCGTCACTGATTTCTGCATTTGAAATGGTATAGCTTGAGGCACTCTGATAAATAGATATCTGAGATCCATCCTTGTAGTACATTAGTCTCCTTATGTCATTATTGTTTTTTTCAGAGCACCTCACAACCACCTCGTCTCCTTCATAGGCATGGTGTGGCATGTCAATGCTCAGCCAGTCTGCAAAAGACACAAAGATTCCTGTAGTGACAAAGCTGCTCCACTGTCCAGTTCTCTAACTTCTGTTCATAAGGGGAAGGGATAGTTCTCTATTCACAATTCAAGAAGCTGGGCATATAAAGTTGCCTTGGGACCTACCAGCCCTGTTAGCTTCCCTGCTCAGCAGAGGTGAGCTCGATTTCACTTAGTGACATTTTTGTCCTCCAAATATCCTGTCAATTTTACATCTGTTAACAAGTTTTGGTGCCATTTTTCCATGTGCCAACAGTTTTCTGGGAGAAATATGGATTTTAAATTATTCTACTTAAATCACCTTATATCCATTCAAGGTTACCTTGTGTCCCCATGAGAGCAATGGTTAAGTCTCTCTGCTTCTCTCAGTCCTTGGAGGCTCTGTCCAATGGTGCAATTCAAAGACTTTCCCTTTATCATTCTCCCTAGATGAAACAAACCTGTCCACTGAGACATCAACCCTGGGATCTGCATCTTCATTCTCTAGAGTTCCCCACTTGAATGCTTTCTTCAGAGGCTTCTGAGAATCGTTTTTTTTTTTTGTCTTTTGTCTTTTTCCATGTCCGGCAACGGATCGCAACCCTCAGTGTTGCCCCCGTACCAGACCGGGGACTGGCAACAGGATTGCAACCCTCGGCGCTGCTCCTGCGTCTCGCTCAGCCAGTGAGCGGGAACCGGCCTGTATGTGGGATCCGAACCCTCGGGCGGGAGCGCCGCCATGCTTCCCAAGCGGCGCACTATCCAGTGCGCCACCGGGCCGGCCCCTGAGAATCGTTTTTGCGAATAGTCCTGGATGATCCCCATGAGAAGGGAAGTGGGCTCCTCTGCTTGTTCAGATCATGCCTCCTCTTGGAAGACAGTGGTCACCAGAGAGCTAATGAACAGCTTGGCTTTTGGATCGGCCTCCAGCAGAGAAAGAAAACACAACAGAATAGGGAGGAGTTTGCAGACTGTTCCCTAAAAGGTTGTGCAGAACCTTAGAGAAAATTTTCAGTTGGCAACAGTGCCAGAAATTCAGGTTCCTATCTCAATTTGGAATTGTAGCACGTTGGGTGGGACTCTAGGGAAAACATTTATTGTCCTGATAAAAAGCCTAATCCCAGGCATACAGCTTGGACCATTCCCATTCAGTGTAAAGAGAGGCAGTGTCAGACCCTGAAGTACAGAATCCAGGAAAGAGACAGGGCATGAGAGTGTCATTTAGTCTGTCTGCCCAGCTTATCCTTCTAGTCATGAGTTTATGGAGCTCCCAGGGTCCTGCCTCAGAGGAGAAACAATCCTCTCACGAGGTCTTCATTTACTGTTCCCAAAGTGAGGTCCATAAGAAGGTAGGCAGAAAGCATTTAGAACTTTCATAATACATTAAACATTTTCTCATCTTTTAAATTTTCTGCTTTTGTAAGTTTTTTTTTTTACCATGTTCATAATAATTCAATATAGGACCTACATCTGTATCTACATAAACTGTTGGAAGTACATGCTAAAAACTTTTGTTCTCAATAGTGCAAAGTGATCATATAAGTTCAAAGACACCTGCTCTACATCTTTTAGCCACTTTAACCACCATTAGATAGGAAATGAGGGTGGACTGTGGGGGCACAAGTATTGATAAAGAAAGGGAAGTATTAAGCCCTCTTGGAGGCCAAATGTTTTCTTCCTTCATGTTGACACTGGGAAAGGTTTTCAGTGAAGATTACAGAGATACAATCAGTTTGATTAAAGAAATATTTGAGGAATAAAATTTATGAGACCAAGTTGATAATAATGATAGGACTGAAGATAGAGAAGAAATGCTGACACCAGGTACTTCTGGGTCTAAAACAAGAATTTGACTGTGAGATACCTGGGTAGGTGTTCTTTAACTTTTGTGTTTTACTTACAAACCCATTCCACAGAAGAAGGCATAATTGTGCATACATGTACATTTTATCACCATTTCGGGGAGTTTGCTGAATCCCACAAGGCTGCTCCAGAGACTCTCTAACCAATTTAAGAACACTCTTGCTTAAAATTACAAGCCTATGTACACAAACATCCCCTCCCCTCCCCATTATACAATGAATGTGCTCTCAAAGGCATGATTAAAGGAGAAAGTGTAACTTTCCAGTCTGATAAGAAGCGAACCTTTCATCTTTAATTCATTATATTGGAATTCTAACTTTAAAAAAGGAAAAACAAGTTAGACATTGGACAGTTTACAATCCAAGTAAAAGACATAGGGGATTCTTGTTTTTTTTTGTGGAGCATCTTTCTAGCCCTGTAGTTGCCACTGTATTATAAATGTGTTTTCTATCACTGCCTCCAGGGCTTCTGGTGGGGTCTTTGAACACCTGTGGCCCAAGCCAAGCCAGGAGAGTGTTTCCCCAGCAACACATTGCATGGCTTGCTTTCCCTTCACAGTTTATCTTCTCCTTTCCTGTCTCTAGATTTAATAGTGAGGGGAAAACAATTCATTGTCTTGAGAGAGTCAGGGCATGGTCTTCTCGCCCATCAAGCAGGGAAGTAACAAAGCAGAGAGGAACATGACCTTGGCCTGTACCTGAAATGCCAAGGTGAGGGTGAGGTGCATGAGGTGCTGGACCTCCGCTCTTTTCACCCTGGTCCTGGCCCAGATCCTACAACCCTCAGCTAAGAGGCAGGTACAGGTAGTGCCTCCTGTGCCTGGCAGAGAGAATATGATTCCCAGGGATCTAAAGAATAAAGAGGAAAGTAACTCACCTGACTGGACACCAACAGGAGCTGTGAGGAAATAGAGTCAGAGAGATTACCACAGGACCAGGATTTTTAAAAAGTTCTGATCTTGTGAGAACTTTCCAACAATTATCTACCCCACTTTCCTTCCTTCCCTTCCTCCCTGTCCCCACCTCCACTTTTTCGCCTTTTATATTTTCCCTCCCTCATTCCTTCTATTTCTTTTTTCTTCCTTCTCTCCCTCTGTCTTTACTTCTTCCCTTTCTTCCTTTCTTCCCTCATTCACAAACAACACTCTCACGGAAGCTAGTGTTCATTCTACAAACCGTAAGTAGTTAATAAACACTTACAATGGCAGTCCGTGCCATTACCCGAAGTTTGTCATTTTGCAGGTTAATTCTCAGAAGTCTTATTATTTACTGCTCCCTCTCCCATCCTCTCTTTTCAAAGTGTCTTGACTATTTTGTCTCAGACATTGCCTACCTGGGGGCAATACAGAAGCCAGCAAGGGCCATGAAGGAAATGGAGGTGTCTTCCTCTCATATTTCTCCTTCCTTTCCTATTCTAGAACTAGTGTTGTGTTTGAGTCCATGTAAGAGAGTCATACTTATCAGCAAAAGCCATGATCTGATCTACTGTTAGCAAGACCTGAAGCCTCCCCCACATCTAAGTTTAGGGAGGTAAGAGGTCAGCCAAAAAGGTGATAGCTTGGAGTGGAAGTGAGGGTTGGGGGCAGAGTGGGATTTATGTGGGCTGAAAATAGAATTCACCGAAACAGAAAATTCCTTTGATGCCCTTTAAGAAATTTTCCAATTTTTCTAGAGATCAGAGCACAAATGAATGTTAAACAAAGAGAGAAGCCAAATCTGGTAAAGAGATTGATAGTCTTTTATTTCCCTGGGAACCCTGCTCTACTTAACATTCATTTGCATAATATCTGTTGACATTGAGTTAGGAGCTGAACCCCATCACTACTCAGCCCAGCACAGAGACCTGTGCTCAAGAGGAGCGTCTGGGATTTCCAGGCACAGTCGGTTCTTCCCTGGCTCCTCCCAGTCTTGCTCCAGAATCCTACCCACCAAGTACCAGAAGCAGTGGCCACAGCAGCATGAGGTTGAAGGCAAGTCCTTCTACAGGCAGTCAGTTGCAGCTCAGATCCTTAGAGTAGCTGTGTATTTGTATGGACCATGAAGCTGGGATCGAGCACTGTGCTTCAGCAGGGATTTTATAGAAGTAGAAATAAGGAAGTAGAAAAGCTCTTTTTGCCAATCAGCATTGTCCTCATCCCCACCCCTATGGGTGCTGAGAAAATAAATGTTCTTCTCCTTTACAAAGTTGCTCAGATGTGTGTGTATTGATCAGAAATGTTTCTTTAAATGTCAGGTGTCTCCATCCTATAGCTAAACTTTCCAATTTGTTTTCACTTTGCATAGAATGCTGAGTTCTGGGCCTGCTAAGAGTCATGTCATTTGCTTGATGTCTTCCAAATGGAAATCCCTTTTCTCACTCAAGATGCATGGGTCATTACACAATTCCTAATATCATGACACCATGCCAAGACTGCTTTGATGCTGCTCTGCAGAGATCTATGCAGATCACATGAAGAGACAACAGGAATTTGTTAGAAGTAATGGTGGGATTAGGATGATATTAGATGGTATTATATATGGTCCAGGGACCCAAGAGGATACGAATCCTGCCCAACCTGAGTCACCTCTGCCCATGAGATGTTCCAGTCAGATAAATGCAGAAAGTATGAAGTAATATGAACACCCTATGGCTACTTGAGCCTTTAGCTCCAAACTAGAGTACAGTGGTCTGAAGGGCCTTAACACACACAGGAGAGATCAGGTCTATCTTATACACCAAAGTTCAAAAATAAATTCTGGAACAAAGCCCTTATATCAGGCTGGAAATAGAATCCACTGCAGTGATTTAAAAAAGGGACTTTAATGAAAAGACCACCTAAACAGATGTGGGCAGGACTAAAGAAACAGAATAAAGAGAATGAGCCATCCAGAGACCAGCCTCATGGGAAGCTGTCACAACCCCCTGTGCTGACAAAGCAAGCGGAGGAAAGACTATGCTGTGGATTGATTGAATTGTGTCCTCCAAAGTTCACATATTATAAGATTAAATCTCCATTTTAACTATTGAGGGTGGGAAATCCTATTATGGTATTTGAAAACTGGGGCCTTGAATTGGTGATCAGATTGTAAGACCATGCCATAGTGAATGGATTAATAATGGTGATCGGGGGCGTGGTTCTGAGGGCTTTAAAAAAAAGAGCACGTGATAAGTTAGTCTCTCTGTTCTCTGCCATTTTGCATTGTGTTACCCTGCATCACTGAAATCACCACCAAGGGAAGCTCTCACCAAATGTGTTCCCTGGACTTTGGACTTCCCAACCTCCAAAACTGTAAGCAATAAATTTCCTTTTCTTATAAATCACCCAGTTCCAGATAGTTTGCTATGAGCAACAGAAACAGACCAATACAGAAAATTGATACCAGAGAAGTGGGATACTGCATACAACACATACTTGAAAATGTGGAAGCAGCTTTGGACCTGGTAATGGGCAAAGGCTGGAAGAATTTGAAGGAACAGACTAAAAAAGTATAGATGCTGGTGAAAGTTTAGAAGACAAAAAAACAACAACAAAACAGGGAAAGTTTGGAACTTCTTAAAGACTGGTTAAATGGTGGTGACCGGAATGCTTATGGAAATATGGACTGTAAAAACCATTTTCAGAAGGTCTCAGATATAAATGAGAAGAGACTTATTGGAAACTAGGGCAAAGATTACCTTTACTATAAACTGGCAATGAATTTGCTGTATTCTGTTCATGCCCAAAACTATTATGGAATGTGGAACTTCAAGGTGCTGACCCAGGGTATTTGGCAGAAGAAATTTCTAAGCAGCAAAGCATTCAGGAAGCTGCATGGCTATACTTGCAACAGCCTATGCTGAGTTATGGCAGCAAAAGTATAATATAAAGCTAGAATTTAAAAGGTAAGCAGAGCATAAAGATTTGGAAAATTTACAACCTGGCCAAATGGTAGAGAAGCAGAGAGAATTTTCAGAAGAAAAATGCAATGGTGATTAAAAAAAAAAAAGATTAGTACAAGAAAGGGATTACCAAGAGAAGGGGGGAAAGACCCTGAAGGCATTGCAGAAGACTCTAGGTCCAGTCCTTCCATTATAGACCCAAAGGCCTAGGGAGACAGAATGGTCTTGGGGAACAGGCCTGAGGTGCTCTCCACAATCTCACTGCCCAGGGTCACCTTGGGAAGTTGCTTCTAGCACCAGTATCCCAACTGCTTTGATTGCTTCAGCCATAGATAAATTGGCTTGTAGCCCCAGGTATGGCTAGACCCACAGCTTTGCAATACAAACCTGAAGGCTTGGCAGTATCCATGTGGTCTCAGGTCTGCAAGCTCACAGAATGCCAGAGCTGTGGAGGCTCCCAAGCCTCCACCTCAATTTCAAAGGATGTATGGAAAAGCCTGGGGGCCCAGAGAGATCTGTCACAGGGGCAGAATCACCTTTGCCAGAGCAATGTTGAGAAGAAATGTGGGGTTAGTGTTGCAGCAGAAAAACCCCACTGAGGCCATGCCTAGTGGAGCTGTAAGAGCAGGACCGCCATGGAGAACCCAAACATGTAGAGCTATCAGTATGCAATGCTAGTCTGTGAGAGCTAAAGCATTACCTCAAACCAAGAAAGTCATAGGAGCAGAGCTGCCCAAGGACTTGGGGACCCAACCCTCATACTATCATGCAGAGAATATAGATCATGGAGTCCACATAGATGATTTGCTAGCTTTAACATTTAGTGACTGCACTGCTGGGTTTCAGATTTGTTTGGGACCTGTTAGGCCTTTCCTTTTGCCTATTTCTCCCTTTTTGAACAGAAATATTTACCCTATATTTGTCTTACCATTGTATCTTGGCAGTACATAATGTGTTTTAATTTCATAGATGGGACTGTATCTTTTAAGTAAGTTAAGACTTGGGATATGGATGAGTGTATTTACCTATGAGAAAGACATGAATTTGAGGGCTGGGGTATAATGCTGTGGATCGATTGAAATTGTGTCCTCCAAAGTTCACATATTAGAAGCTTAAATCCTCACTGTAACTGTTGAGGGTGGGAAATCTTATTATGGTAATTGAAACATGGGGTCTTGAAGAGGTGATTAGATTGTAGGACCTTGCCATAGTGAATAGATTAATAATGGTGGTCAGGGGTGTGGTTGAAGGCTTTGAATGAAGAGCACATGAGAGGTTAGTCTCTCTCTGCTCCACCATTTTGCAATGTGATTCCCTGCATCACTGAAAATCACCACCAAAGGAAGCTCTCACCATACATGTTCCCTGGACTTTGGACTTCCCAGCCTCTGAAACTGTAAGCAATAAATTTCATTTTCCTATAAATCACGCAGCTCCAGATATTTTGTTATAAGCAACAGAAATGGACTAATAAAGACTATGACAAAAGCCTCATGAGAGCTGGAACCACAGAGAGAAGCTGCAGGAGGAGTTGTGATTATGGGGGACATAGCTACTGCCAGAGATGAGGCGCCAAAGCTGAGGGAGGGGGAAGAAATACCCTGACTTCTCCCTCTTTCTGCTCTCTGGTCCCCCATCGGCACCTCCCTTACAGAGCCCACTGTAAGTATGAGAGGCTGGCTCATACAGTCTGCAGGGGTCAGCCTCCCAGCACACAGAGAAGCAGAGAAGGCCAGGGAATGGATCTGGGGCAGAGTGGGGTGGTCAAATAGAGAATAGCTAGTATAGTCCTTAATGGAGAAAGAACAGTTACACCAGCGCTGGAAGCTCCTTCCTAGCAAAGCCCTGCTCTCTGCGGGTTGGAACCTGCCCATCCCCATCCAAGGCTGTCAGTCTGTGGGGTGCTGAGGTGAAATTAAGAGGGTATTTAAGTTAGGCAAAATTGAATACCTTGATCATCCTCAGTCAGCTCCACTAGAGAGCAATACTAACAAAAGAGTAAACGAGGTAAATTAGCACTTCTTTGCTAGCAATTTCAGCCCCAAATTCTAAAAGGTAGCTCTTTTTCACTTAGGCTGTGGACCATTTTTTTAAATTTTATTTTAAATATGACTAGTAAGGGGATCTTAACCCTTGACTTGGTGTTGTCAGCACCACGCTCTCACAAGTGAGCTAACCGGTCATCCCTATATAGGGATCTGAACCCGTGGCCTTGGTGTTATCAGCACCACACTCTCCCAAGTGAGCCACAGGCCAGCCCCGGCTGTAGACCTGTATGACTTAATAACCCCTTCTTCCTGAGTCATTCTATCCCTGGAATAAAGATATGAGCATAACAGTTGAAGCAAACCAGAACTTGTCTAGGCTCCCAGGTGTAGGCCTTTCTCTAATGGTATGTTTATGTTTGGGGTCTGAGGGAAGAGGAGGCAGAAGGGACTGCATCTGAGGGTACAGTCTCCAGACCTGCCTTGCTGCATGTGTGGGAGAAGAGAAGATCTAAAGAAATCACATCCATATGCATTCTGTCTTGTAATCCCTTTAATATTTCACCCTCTAGAACAGTGGACATGTAAGTAAATGTTATGAGTAAGCTTTCAATCAGAAGTAGAGAGATGAAAGTGGTTAAACTGTGGTGTTTGAGCAAAGAAGAACAAGATTATATGACCAAGAATGGAATGACAAAGAAACAGTAAATTTTTGTGATGATGAATTTGCTAACTACCCTGATTTGATCACTACTCATTGTATACATGTATTGAAATATAACTCTGTGCTCCATAAATACATACAATTAATATGTTTCAATTAAATTTAAAAAATAAATTTTCTTAAAAAAAAAGAAAAGAAATGTCAGGACAAGAAGCAGAGAAAAAATGATGCTACTGGAACATTCCAAACAGGAACCAAGGATTTATTTAATTTACTTTTATTTATTTATTTACATTTGTTTTATCAATATACAATGTAGTTGATTTTCATGTCTCTTTACCGAATCCTCCCTCCCGCCCATCAACATCATATCCGTTCACCCTTCTTAACAAGTTCAAGGAATTGATTGTTGTGACTTCTTCCCTGCCCCCCCCATTTGTCTGTGTATTTAT